TCGGATAGATTGAAAAAGGTAAAAATGAATTTTCTTAGTGTCAAAGAGTGCTCTGTAAAAATTAGAGAAATTAGAAAATCCAATAACCGTTGTAGTTTCAGCGGGAAGAGCAGCCTACCCTTCACCCCCCCCCGGTTTTTTGAACGTTGCAGGTGTACGAGGTAGGTAGACATAGACAGAGTAACCCAGGAAATTCCCAAACTAGTTTATTCAAACTCCATCCTGAGAGGGCCAGGGTCGTAATAACCTAGAATTTTTTCTGCGCAGTGCTTGACCCTGGTAACGAAATACCACAAAAAATGAGGACGACGTGGCACAGCAGTATCGAAAGGTCACCTAACTCTGGAACACTTCGGCCAACTTATTCATCCACGACTTTAAGATACCTTTTCACTTTCTGTATCCAGAGCACTGGTGGCTTCATCGAGGAGTAATATCTTCGGATCTCTGACAATAGCACGAGCGATGGCGATCCGCTGCTTTTGACCGCCCGACAACAGTGCACCTTTTGCTCCAACCACCGTATTGTAACGCTAAAAAATTAATATTTACCGAATATGTTTTAATCTACGTACGTGGCCTTATGCAACAGATATCGGAAAGTTTTTTTTGAGGTTTGGGCTACGAGTGCAAAAAAAGCTATCAACGACTAACCTCAGGAAGGCTATTGATAAAATCATGAATGTTGGCGAGACGTGCCGCATGCTCAATTTCCTCTTGAGAACATTTGTCCAGACCGTACATGATATTCTCGCTGAAAAACTCTCCAAGTTGACCATTATTTATTTTTCAAGGTGATTTCATAGTTTCTCTTTCTGGCCCACAAATGCTACGTCAAAGCTAAAGACAGCCACTAACAATAGGTAGCAAATGATCTTGGAAGCACCGTGATCAATTCCTTGAAAGAATTTCTATTGGAATAACGTAGTCGCACCCACATCATCGAATATAGTGACATTCTCGCGAGTCAGAAATGCGTGCGCCCTGCGTAGTTCTCAACGAATATGGGGGAAGGAGTGAGGGGGCTCAAATTTGAATTTTCCGGAGGGGCAAGCGCTCCATTCAGAATGTTTTTCGTGTCTGCATTCGCTCGCCTCTGTTTCTCTGCTCGCTGTCCAGCATATATTTCTTACACGAGTTGTCCCTTCTACCCATATAGAAGACATAGCTAATTTTCGGTAGATTCAGCAAAATTGTTTTTCTCCCACAGGTGGCAAATGCAGGGTGAATAACGGTCGAGGAAATCTTAGACCATGGTTCTGCACTGTGTGAACACAGTGTCTAGAGTGAACGTAGGCGCGGAGAGCACAGACGGCTCGCGGCTGTAGGCGCGGTAATTCCGCGCGTGAAGAGTGACTCGGAGCAGACAAAGTCCTGCACGGCCGTCGACAGAGCTCTTGGACTGCGCTTTTACACCTGGTCGTATACGGGTGGGCTCACGTGACCCACTGTTCCATTTCCCAATTTTTTTTTTTGCCGAACTTACAGAGGTGTCCCACTTATGAAAAGAGCGAGTAGCGCTCCTGCTCCGTCCTGCCTCTCACCTGAGGCAATCAGCGTGAAATTCACCTTAGAATATTATCCTCTTACGGGCCAATAAAGGTTGGACTTAAAACACCTTCCTAAACAGCGCATGGGAAGCGATAAATGAGGATCACATTCACTTAGTGTGCTGCTTGTACTAAGCGTGATTACTGATAGATTGCGAGAAAAGGCTTCAAAGGAGACGTGATGGTGCTCATTGTCAGTAGCACGCAGTGGCAAAAAAAAACCGAGAAATCCGTCAAGAAAACGCAAAACGGGACCCCCTTTCTTGGCCGGCCACAGTCGAGTTGCTCCAGTTGTGCCGCTGCTGGCAACGCAGCTCGTCCAAATCACCAACTAAAGTGGGCGGATCGCTTTTGGGGGCGGAGTGCTTTCGAAGTCCTGCTCAGCAACCAGCGCACCTTTCGTCGTGAAGCGCACATCTCGCTTCCTTGGCAGCCAAGTAACTGCTTCGTGCGTTTAAAGTATCATGGCAATCTAGCGTCTGTATAATTAGTTCTGTCGCTAGCCTTTTTATCTAAATCCTTGTACACTTTTTTGTTTGCTGTGATGATTGTAGAGCGCAGTTCTTTTTCATGCTAGCTTGAGTGCGAGAGAAGTGGAAGAATGCGATTGGAACAGAACTATCCTACCGTATTGTTACATTGAATAGTGTCGGCTCCTGACCAACTAATGCCATGTTGTCCCTCACGTAACGAATGGAGAGGTCACGTATGTCGTAGGTGTCGATACTCTAGTAAAAAAAAGTAGATAGAACTGATGAAATAGAAATACCGCGAAATTCTATGGAAAAAAAGTTGACTGAAAATTCTAGAAATACAAAAGAACTTAGAAGGGATTGGCTACAAGCAGAAAATATGGTGAAGAATTGAAAATGAAAGGTAGAAATTCAAAACAGACGCTGGACCTGGGGTTTGTTCGCTGTAAGATCTTTCTAGCGAACCCTAAGTTTATCCTAGATAATATTTCTACAAATGAATCGATCCGAGCCTGGATCTTTGGAAACTTTCAAAAAATATGAGTTGATGAACTGTCTTCTATTTGCAGTCAGCGAAGCAGAACAAAATAACCGCTGTATGTATCTTCTGTTAAGGATTTCAGTCTCACTTCAGATACTGTTGATGCAGACCAATTGGTTCATCAAGTTACACTGTAAGCGCAGCTAAGTTACGATAAATAATCTACTGGATCCATTGGTAAACCTGCGGGGGGTCGTTTGGTACCTTACTAGAGCGATGGATTAACTTGGCGCTAGACTACGAATTCTTCCGGAGGCTGAAAACGCTGGGGCATACCCTTCGCTGCAAGACGCGCATCGTTCCACACTCGCGAGGGGTCTGCCTGCCTTCCGAATAGTTGCACTTCCCCTTCCTCAACCTCCGACTTACCGTAGAGTTTCCCTTTAGCTGCTACATGCGAAGAAATGAAAAAAATGAATTTTCTGTCGTGATTTCTGTAAATTTCGAGAGCACAACCATATACCTAGAGAGAGGAGAGGGAGTTGTTGCCATGCTGGACTCACCACGGTGCCACACAAGGCGTCGTAATACCTCTCGACAAGCTGTATCACGGTGCTCTTTCCGCACCCGCTGGCGCCCACTAGTGCCACAGTCTGTCCATGTCGAACGCTCAGGTTCATTCCTTGGAGGACAAGCTGCCGCCGTCGCACCGGATACGAGAAATAGACGTTTCTCAGCGCTATGTCGCCTTTGAGCACCTAAGCAGGGAAAAATTTTCTACCTAGTGCAAAATCCAAGAACTTATGGTTAGGTAAAAATCATTTCAAAAGGGATTTCATATGCATTTTCTCTGAATGCCTGACCGCCGTTCTGCAGAGACAAGGAATGTAACTCTGATGGATACAAGAAATTTTTTAGCGTTTTTTTTTTCGCATGACGACTACCGTACCTACCGGTTTATCTCCCTGATGGCTCATATTGTCGATTTTTGGCCGCTGTCGCATCATTGTGAACATAACTCCTGCTGAAATCCGAGCACGGATGTACTCCGGGAAATATGAGGCGGCCATCATCACGCTCAATATTGACCATGTTTACGCTTCGATCACACCTTGAAAAGCATTGGTTTGACTGGCATAAAGGGTATATTAAGCGAGTGCAAATCATTGCTGACATGATGGTAATCCATCCAGTCTTCTGACAGGGAGCGCCTCAGAGCATCTGGAACCTTCCCTTGTAGGAACGCGCTAGACAATGATGCCTTCATTAGGGTGGCTCAACTTGAATTCGGGAACCCGCGGGAGAATTCATAACGGGTTTTGAACATCACGAAAAAGGTACACTGAGAATTAGCCTCTAAGGGAGAGGGAAAGGCCAGGGAGAACATCAAAATTGCTCCGCGAATCCTCCTACAGTCCATTCTCACTCCCTAAGTCTTTCTTATGGTTATCCCAAGTACTGTAACTGCTCATTTCATTCCAATAAACCTGCCTGAGGCCCACCAACAAACAGTCACAAAATGAGTAGCTTGTGAAGGCCCGCGTTATACGATGTCGCGCCAAACCTGACAATAAGTGATCACGGGCATTTGCTTAGAATTTGCGCAGAAAATGTCTATCTGATACAATTGTTCAGAAAAGATTAAACTCACTGGAAATACTAATAGAATGGCGTACTTCCATGCGCGTTTCGTATAAGCCATAGACCAAAAGCGTAGGCGATAGCGAAGTTCACCACAACGAAACTGTTCGACAGCGCTAGGGACAGCGCCTGCCAAAGGCCTTAATTTATTACAAATATATTATATTTCTACCTTCAAACATTTCTTCACATCTTATTACCTTCCTTCGTATTGGAATTCTTGCCGGGACTTTTTTATTATGACTTTATCTACAAGGTTGCAAAAGGTTCTTAGAGAATCAAGGGCTGTCCGCGCTGTATGAACGTGGCGATCACGAGATCACGAAAGCGAAGATTCGGGTTGATTCAACTTGAAAATGGAGGTACGCAGACGGTGCGGTAGTAAAGCGGATTCCCGAATAAATTGGCCACAAATCCGACCTGGGATCCTGCTCATCCGAGTTCAGACGCTAAGCTCTTGGCTTCGAAGACACGCGTTTGAGGGCGACTTGATGCAAGCTGGGGCCCCGTGATTTTGCAGAATGCCTTTCGAATTCGAAATGGCCATATGAATAATCGGAAGCCTCAAGCCCGGTATTTCGCGTTTTGGATTATGTCTACTAGTGCGCCTTACACCACGCCAGCTACATTCGCACTTCTTTCGTGCCTATACGCTCTCTGGTGGCGGGCCTTTTCCTCTTACCTTCAGTGCATGAAAGATATAATGCTTCAATATCGAATTGACTAGAAAAACGAATCCTAGCTCAATAATTCAATTTGTCGAATAAGGTTTTCCAGAGAGATCACATCCAAGAAGACCAGCACCAGATCTCCGTTTGTGAATGTTGCAAGAGGATTTTTTGATTTAGAGAGGTTGCATGGCGACTGAGTATTTCCGTAGTGGTCGAAAATGTTCGACGAATACGTTACTTTCGTGGCTTTTTTTCGAGACAATATTAATTGGCCGTCAAAAATTTGTATCTTTTGAAAATCCGATCTTAAAGGAATCTTGCGCGGAAAAATCATGATTCTATTTCAGCCATAAATCACTGGCTTGAGACTCATTATCCACGATAATAGTGAAAAGAACTGAAGTATTGCTTTCGTTTTGATTAGAAATTCGAAAACTCGAAAAGGCTGCTACGCGTTCGAATTGCCCACGGACGTCTTTCACGAATGCTGGCGACGGGGATGCTCAAACTTGGTTCTTGGAGTGCATTCACTAGAAGCTCTTTCTGGCCTTCTGCTTCGTTGCATTCACATCTTACACTTCTACTCCATCCTATTCCATCGATCGATTTGTCTCCACTCTCCGAAATCGCGCGCTTTAACCCGATTCTCTCATTGCGTCGCCTGGTACGTAGCCGGCCAAACGCCGTCTTCTTTCCATGCCTCGCCTGGCTCTGCCTCCTGGTCCTTCGATGGTCCATAACGTGTAGTTTTTGTACGTTTGTTTCTCTTCAGAAACCGAATCTTCATGCGTGAAACTTTGTGTGCTATTTCCAGTGATCACAACTGACATATTCATGTTAGGAAAGAGTGCAAGAATTTTCCGCGCAAGATTCCTTTAAGTTGAGGAACAAAAACACTGATAAACATAGTATATTCAATCTTGGAAAGAAAGACGTTCGCTCAAGCGAGACAATGCGTAATAGACTGAGAATCGTTTCGGCGACTACTTTTGACCGCCATTTTGTAATGTGCCCAAGGTGAGCGCCCCAGAACTCGTGCTTTCGGATCACCGCCTTTCCGTACAGAGAACACTAGCGCCGATTTAAATTCTACTCTAGATCGACGTAAGAGCAGGCGGATGGAAAAAGAATAATAATGGAGAGAGAGACCTTCGAGGGCGACAAACGCTGGTACAATAAAATCCCCACCACAAGAACCGCCTGTCTGCACAGAAGCCGCTGATCGGAGCTATTAACAAACAAATCTGGGACGGTAGATAAACCTTCATTAATTCAGACTTAACGTGTCGAGATTAGCTCAGACCAAAGTCAGTTTAGATAACAGGTTCAGAGCGCTTCTCAACACATTAAGTCTTGTTTAACCTACAGTTAGATCATAACCAAAAAAACCATTTTAATTAGTAGTTAGAGAGTTAACTTGTAAACCTAATTCGTAATTAGGCAGAGAAAAGAAATAGTGTGAGGTCGAGGAGGCGCAGACGCCACGTTGACCCACGAGTAAAAAGTACTCCGAAGGACTTTTTACTGGAGGGTCATACGTGTCAGACGTGGTGACTGCGCCTCTTCAATCCCGTGCTCTTTTTTCTTCTCTGACCAGCTCAACCTGTTAGGAATCAAAGAATGCAGCTGCGATCCATAATCTTCAGGTACTTTTGCAACCTTTTTTTTCTTATTTATTCGTTTCCTGATATTTTGTCGTCTGAAATCTAAAGTAGGAAGCTCTTGCTTGATCTGGGCTGGATCGCACTCTCCATTCTTTATTCTTTGCTTAGAATCTCCGATCGTTACTTCTGATTGCGAGTTAAGGGTACTTTGCTACCGTCCCAGGTATTTTCAAAGGTGAACGTGGAGATTACTGACATGAGTGATCACAGAGAATTCTGAAGACCGCTTGAAATCCAGAGAATCGAGATTTTCCATGAATATACCGCTCATAGAAAGTCGCGCAGTCTTGAGCGCGACTGTTGATTTGGGGACGGAATGCAGCTGATTATATAATATAGTCAAATAGTACTGTGATGAAACGTAGATCTTTGCTCCTTTGGCTTGCCAGCAACCATTCCTGTAATATCTTTTGGATTTGAAATCAACTGGCTTCGTAGGTCCGCCGGGACCGACTACCTTACGTATAGGACAGACGTCCAAATGTTGTTTGAGAAGAAAGTTAGGATGAGACATTCCGCAAACAGGTAGGAAACCGCGGCAGCTGCTCTTCTTCACCGCTTTATTGTCACAAAGACTCACCTCGTACAAGAGCCCTTTTATGAGGTTCCTGTGCTGCAGCACAGTATGCTTCGTACATGTAGCCCTCCTTACAGAGTGCTTGAATCGTTCGTGTGTTCGAAATTGATTCCGTCACTATCTGAACAATTTAATTTGTTTTCAAAAATGGTCCATGAACGAATCTGAATTCCCGGCAGGACTTAATGATAATCTGTTTCTGCTTTAGGTTCCGACACTGTTATCTGCTTTTGTTCAGCGGATTCGTCAAATGCTTCGAAAGAGGAGTTTGCCGAAATGTTAGCGAAATAAAACTTGTTTTACTTCCGGATGGTTCGAAACAGTAACAACAAGATCCGGACTCCCAATTCCGGAAAGGTTTAAATCAAGAAACTTTTCACCTGATCTGGCTTCCACAGCTGAATTCATATCTTCTGTATCTCTGAACTTCAGATACTGGAGCAACTAGACGATTGCAGCGCAGCCATGATACGACAATTCTACATACATGAGAGGCCGTCGTTCTCAGCCGTTGGCTATACAAGTTGAAAAAGCACTGGCTTAGTGGGATGGCCGCATTATGAATTTTCAAAACTCTGGCAAAGGCACTTCCCCATCTTCTACAGTGGCCGGGTTCATTATTCAGTTTAGTGCTAACATGATCACGCGTCGATCGTTCACTTATGTTGTAAGTGAACCGAACGGGACCTTCTCAGTTGTAAACCATCACATAGCGAAGTGTGATTGATTCAGGATTCGACACACATTCAGAAAAAGTGGCGAGCCTCCAGCTCACTTCTTACTTCGCAATGGAATCAAAAGTAAAGGCTATCTCTGCTAACCTTCCATTTTTCAGGGATCTGCTTAATTATCCGAGAGCGGAGACCAGATAGCCTTATCAAGTGTTGCAGTCTTCAGTAGAATCACTCACCTAATAGAAGAGCAGTGGCTAATGCCAATGGGAGCGACATTCCAGCCGTAGGAAAACGCAACGACAATTCCAGCCACCAAAGCACAAACACCTTGCAACACCTCTGCGAGCCTTTGATCGATCGCCTAATTACAGTAAATTATTAGATGTGATTATAGTCGTTACGAAATGTCATCGTTACACATTAGCAAATTATTAAAATAAAAGGCAAACCAGGCGTAGCGAAGAGTCCTCTCAGTCTGTAGGATGGACCCCAGGAGAACAGCGGACGTGGCAGTCCCCTGCATGGGAATCGCCTGACAAGTTCTTCAGGGCCTTGCAAAGGTAGCTTCAACTGCTTCAGTTTTTTGCAACTGCAGCAGGCGCCCTCTCATATGCTGCACCTTTCCCTCATGCTAGCTCCTCGTCCGCGCTCAGTCTCTCATTGCCTGGCAGCAGGCCGCATCAACGAAATGAGAAAAGTTTGTCATTGAGCAAGCTTTCGGCAGAGATTATTTCGCGCTTTTTCTTATTGCCGGCCATTTTGAACGCATTGAAAAGATTACGCACAACTTTGGACTATGGCTTTGATTTAAGTGGGTGTGAGTCTAAATTGAGGCAGGGATAGCCGAGTGGTTAAGAGGTTAGACTCATGTCTGCACCTCTGAAAACCGCGAGTTCGATCCCTGCCGAGGTTAACCATGCCTTGCAAAAATTGCAAAAATGGTTCTAGTACCAGCGTCAGGCCCAGGTTGACAGGCCGGCTGATGAATACCCCAGTCACACCAAACATGTCTAAAAGTCGCAAAAGAATCAGTGATAAAGCTAGGACGTCACCCGGAAGTGGCGCGCAGAACCCCCGCCCGAGTTCTGTGGTCAGTATGCGAGGGCTACCGAGGAGTGAACGGCCTCGGCCAAAGAAGCTAGTTCGAATAGGGACTCTGAACGTAGGATCGCTAACTGGGAAGTCCCGAGAGGTTGCTGATCTGATGACGCGCAGGAATATCCAAGTGCTATGCCTTCAGGAGACGCGATGGAAAGGTGCTAAGGCCAGGGAAATCGGGGAAGGTGTCAAGCTCTACTACAATGGAGAAGACACCAAGCGGAACGGTGTGGCCATAGCGGTAGCGGAGTCGCTCAAGGACTATGTCTCCGCTGTGAACAGGATCAGCGATCGGATCATGGCTGTGAGGATAGACACGAAGGAGGGGTACTGGACCAATACTCTCCGTGTACGCACCGCAAGCCGGATGCCCCGAAAGTGAGAAGGACGAGTTCTATCTGAGCCTGGACGAAGCCATAAGAACGATTCCGGAAGGCGATTACCTGACCATAGCAGGTGATCTGAATGGCCACGTCGGCAGTGACAGGAGAGGCCGGGAAAGGGTGCACGGAGGTAGAGGGATAGGAGTGAGGAACGCCGAGGGAGAGAGGGTCCTGGACCTGGCTACGGCCCACGATCTGGCAATCTGCAGCACGTTCTTCGCGAAAAGGGAGACTCAGAAGGTCACCTACAGCAGTGGAGGACGACAAACGGAAATCGACCATGTGCTGGTAAAAAGATCATCCCTCAGAACTGTGAAGGACGTCAAGGTACTCCCTGGCGAGGAGCTGGCTTCCCAGCACAAGCCACTCCTGGCAGACATAGCCATGGAGCTCCCCAAGAAGACAAAGGTAAGAACCGAGAGGAGAATCCGGTGGTGGAAGTTGCACCGTGCAGAGAAGAATGACCTCAGGCGAAAGATAATGGAAGTCGGTCTCCCAGATCCTAACGGGCCAGTACAGCGGACTTGGGGCACGCGGCTGAGACCATCCTGCGATGTGCCAAGGAGGTACTGGGCGAGACGCGAGGTGGATTCAGAGGAGACAAGGCAGCGTGGTTCTGGAACGAGGAGGTCCAGCGAGTCGTGAAGCAGAAGAAGGAAGCATACAAGCGCTGGCAGAAGACCCGGAGCCCCGAAGGACCTCGCTGCCTACAAGAGTTGCAAGAGGCTCGCTAAGGCCGCCGTAGCCAAGGCAAAGAACACGGAGATGGACGCCTTGTACGAGAAGTTGGAAAGCAGAAACGCAGAGAAGTTCGTCTTCAGACTGGCCAAAGCCCGGCATCGGGCTACTCAAGATATCAGGGTGGTGAAGAGCGTGAAGAGCAACAACGGCGCCATACTGAGGAAGCCAGCCCAAGTTCGGAGGAGGTGGGAAGAGTACTTCAGAGGTCTTCTGAACGAGGAGTTCTCCCACGAGAACAACTCACGGGCAGAGGCCACAGCTGGTCCCATCGCACTCTGGACAGAGGATGAGGTTCGGCGTGCACTTGGGAAGATGAAGGTTGGAAAGGCAGTTGGTCCAGATGGAGTACCCATAGAGGCTTGGAAGGCCCTGGGAGAGCACGGGGTGAGGTGGCTCACCCGCTTCCTGAATACGGTGACTGCCGAAGGAAGGATGCCGGATGCCTGGAGAACAAGTACTATCGTCCCCATCTTCAAGCAGAAGGGTGACGCGATGGACTGCTCCAACTACCGCGGCATCAAGTTGACTGCGCATACCATGAAGTTGTACGAGCGCCTGGTCGACTCGAAACTGCGGGAGCTGGTCCAGATCTCCCAGGAACAGTTCGGGTTCATGCCCGAAAGGTCTACAACGGATGCCATCTTCATCGCTAGGCAAGTGATGGAGAAGTATCGCGAAAAGCGCCGACCTTGCTACCTAGCCTTCCTCGACCTGGAGAAGGCGTTCGACCGGCTACCGCGAGCAGTGCTATGGAGGTCGCTTAGGGAACGGAACGTGCCAGAACACCTCATCTCTCTGGTGAAGGGATATGTACGAAGGAGCCAAGGCAGCTATACGCACCCCATACGGCCTAACGAAGGAGGTGGACATCACGGTCGGGGTGCACCAAGGGTCAGCTCTGAGCCCGTTCCTCTTCCTCCTAACACTAGATGTCCTGGTGAAGGGGCTCATGGAAGGACCACTGAAGACCATCCTCTACGCTGACGACATCGCCCTGATAGCGGATAGTAGAGAGGAACTACAGGCCAAGGTGCAGCAATGGCAGAAAGTCCTGGCAGAAGGCGGGCTACGGCTGAATGTCAAGAAGACCAAGTTCCTGAGCTCCGAAGAGGGTGCAGAGCCGATCGTGGACGGCCATGGTGAGACCATCGAAAGAGTGGAGGACTTCCGATACCTCGGGAGCGATCTGGCAGCCGACGGAAGTGTGGATCAGGCAGTGAAGGCACGAATCAACGCGGCATGGATGAAATGGAGGGAGTCCACTGGAATCCTCTGCGATCGAAGGTGCTCCAGAGCGCTCAAAGGAAAGGTGTACCGGACAGTGGTAAGGCCTGCGATGCTATACGGCAGCGAGTGCTGGCCCCTGAACAAGAATCACGAAAGGCAGCTTCACTCCGCTGAGATGAGGATGCTGAGATGGGCCTGCGGCTGGACGCGGCTGGACAGGGTAGAAACGAGGATGTCAGAGCGGTCATGCAGACTGCCCCTGTCCAGCTGAAGGTACGGGAACAGCGTCTGCGATGGTATGGGCATGTGCTAAGGAGGCCACAGGACCATCCGATAAGAACAGCGATGGACTTCGAAGTACAAGGCAAGCGACCGCGAGGAGCCCCGAAGAAAAGGTGGAAAGACGTAATCAAGAAGGACCTAGGTGAGGTCGCGGCCACGATGGAAGATGCCCTGGACAGAGCAAAGTGGCGACGGCTGACAAAAACAGCGGACCCTGCGACTGCGCGGGACTAACGCTAGGGAGAAGAAGAAGAAGACTTCCTATATCTCATCATTATTTTCATAAATTCTAAACAGTGCAAAAATCCTTACAGCTTGCACATTCGGTGTGTCCGAAGCGAGATGGGCTGTCAAATTTCCTGTGTTTGTGGTTTGGATCGTCAAAATAGGAAGCATCCTGGCGCATAATGTTCTGCAACATACATAGATTATTTTACATTTCCGACGTGGCATAGAATAGTGAGCAAATAAAATTTTTTCGACATTGTCTAAAGTTAAGCATTTCCTCAGAACACTATTTAGTGAAATCTCTGAAAAGGAGTCTTTTCTGGAAATTGGTGGAGGCCCCAGAAAACCAGAAAAATTACATAGTTCAACGTGGAAAGTTTATTTAATTCTTGGGCTAATTGCCTCCACGCCAGTTTTCTTCCCCCTATCTTTTTCTTAAATCGCCTTCGGCTATTCTGGCGCCATCCCTCACTCCTAAACACGAAAAGTTTTTTTGATGAGAATTTCGGTGTCATTGTATTATAATTAGGCAGGAGAGACATGAAGTTAATGCGGCACGCTCTCCGCATTTCTGAGCCCATTCAGCAAGTTCCCAAGAATGTTGTCAATTCTTAGAATGAGGG